AACATTGAGAACAAAAGTACCACTCAATCAATAATTTTGGTCGTTTTGGTAGCGGTTTAGTTGATGTGAGAAGAAGAAAGACCAAAGCCACTAGTGGAAATTAGAGGAAGACCAAGATGCCAGATAATTGCATTAAAATGACTTTTCAATACACACTTAAAAAGGCTCATACATTTACACAAAAGGGTGATTCCCTGGACACAATGGAATACTTCAGTCCACTCGCGCCGTAGCATTTGAAAATATTCCGGCCAACTTTGAATCTATCTTTACAAAGGAATGGTAATAAATAGATACAGCAAATATTCTTTTAACCAAAACTCTTCCCGAGTCCAGAAATCAATGATTTTTTTCGATCCCCTACTGTTACTAGGGAGCTGTATGCAAACATATCCATATAATTTTAAATCCTCAGGTCCGCCACGAACACACTCTAACCCTAAAAGCTCAGAAATTTCGCGAAAATGATGCTCACCTGCGCAGATTCTGTGAAGCAGTCCCAAAATAGTTTCCAGAGCAAGGAACAGCACAAACATCACATTCTGTTCCAACGTATGTCTCCGTCCTTTTACACAAATATTCTGTTCCAACTTCCAAGCAAAAGACTTCAGATGACCATCACATTGGACAACCGACATCAGGTATCAAAAACTTATTACAAAATTTCATGTTATTGCAGCCAGGAACCGTTTATGATCCAGATGATCCACAAGGGATCAATTATAATACAGTGGCCCTTGAAAAAAGGTCTTACCCCGATGTATCAATTTCCTTCCCAGAATCATCCTCATTAATGTTTCTCCTCAACCTTCTTAGCCATATATCATAGTCCATGGGATATGGTGTCCCACATAGACTATCAACATAATCGGCAAATGCTTTCAACACTGTTGAGGCCTCACCTAACTTCTGTTGAATTAATCTCCTGGACCAAGAAGTCTCTCTCCACTGCAGTGCCCCCTCAACGGAATCCAGATCAGGTAGAACCCCACCACACGAAATATAAAGCATGTAAACAAGGCTCTCTGCATCTGAAGCTGAGCATAGCTTTCCCTCCTGGAGAGCATAAGTAGAAGAGAAATGAAGGTTCATTGCAGGGCGGTCCCTATCTTCAAGAATAGCACGTCCCCAACCAATAAGAACAAAATATGGTTGCTTCTCGGCAGACCTGACACAAATCACATTCTCAGGCCTGATGTCTCCGTGGCGAATTCCTGCGGAAGCAGCAGTTGAAAGTGCAGATAAGCAATCATGGCAACACCTGATCGCGTCCTCCATACCAAATCTGGCCTCACTTGTCATATGAGCCACTGTTTCACCAACTGGGCTGGTCACAAGAATCGGGGTGCCACACCAGGGGTGATCACAGTTTCCACCCGAGCTGGGTTTCTGACAATGACCAGGGTGAATAATCCTGCCAGAAGCACTTAACTGAGGTAGATACTTGCTAGATAGACCTCTCTGTTTCATAATAGTCAATATTTTCGTCTGCCTCTGAACTTGATACCACAGATTCATATCCTCCCACGCGGGCTCCAGCTGGGAAGGATGAGAACCAACATATAGAAACAAACTTTTCTGAGGTTCTTCAACCGGAGAAGCAATGTAATATGGATGTTCACTGTTATTCAAGACTTGATTGATCTGGTAACCTTTTTGCCAGTTAGAATCCTCCAACCATAATACAGATCCTGCTTCTAGCTTCATTAACTGTTCGGTCTCAATTTTAGCAGAATCATCCTCAACTTCAACGATTTCTGGGGATACACTGCGCTGCTGGAACCGATACAGACCATTTCCATTCGCCCGGGAATTCCCCAACTGCCTCTCAGTCCTTCTTGCTTGGAGGCGAGGACCATGGTCAGCAGCCAAGTCCTCTATCGAGTGCTTGGGAAATCCAGCAAATTGCACGATACAATGGAAGGTAGCAAAGAGTACCTGTAAAGCACCAATGTCTCCCCAGTTGGCATTTCCAAGTTTGTTCCAGATCCTATCAATGGGCGAGACTGCAATCCTAGAATGGTTTGTAATCCATTCAGCAGCACATTCATAAACATTATTGACATCAAACACCATCTTATTTACATCTCCTTCAACCTTTACTACCCCACCATACTGAGAATCAACAAGAAGAATAAACACAGAGTTTGAACTCTGAGAGTAGTTCATTCTGCTCAAGCTTCTTGATAATAATACACGTAGAGCATAGAAAAGGGCCTCGCCTAAAACAGATAGAGAAAGCTGCCTGTCACTATCCATGGAAAAGTTTCTGATATCAGGCCTTAAAAGAGACAGTTCAAGAATATGATCCCACTTCCCACGGGGATGTCTAGAGTTTGTAAGCAATAAACCAGTAGCACAAAGACCTCCAAGTTTACCATCTGCAATTGCCTTCTCAGCCTGGTAGAATTTCAAGTTTTCATTGTATAGACAAGCAACAGAGAAAGGCATAGGCTCATCTTGACTCCAGAATGCTTCCCACAATCCCTTCGCACCGGCATGTAAAAAATCTTCAATGGCAAGGTAAGCAGTTTCTTCAACAGCATCCGATGTTGAAGCATAAACGGAATTGGGCATTCTAATCACCTGCTGAAATGAAATCCCTTCCAATGCATAGTCAAACTTTTGAAGTTCTATCAACTCAAAAGGCACATCAAAGGCCGGTTTCATTGGTTCCGATGTGTTGGATATAGATTCAAACCAGTCTTCTAATTGTGCAGTAAGCATGCCACTGTCTACAAATCTATGAAGAAACTCCTTGCAGTTACGAGACCTACTGCCAGATGATGCACTAGACCTCTTTGTCCCAGACCCAACTGATTCCTGGTCTGGCGACACAGCTGCCAAAGAAAGTATAATAATGTAGATCAGCTAAATGGGGTTCGAAACAAGAAAATGCACATGAATCTACGTGTGTGTTTGTGTACTATTTCTTAACAAGTGCATCCACACAGTTGATATATACCAATGACAGAAACAATTGTTACTGATTGACTTCAAAAGTTATAGAAATGCTGTGCAGTTACCAAAATTTGACCATCAGTCCATCTGTACCTTTTTCTATTCACTTTTATAAGAACCACAAGTTTTATTATGAAGAGCGGAGAACAATAGAAATAAAATTGATCATAAATCCAAAAAATCAAAGACTCATAAGACTTTTCGTACCCTACTAAAACCCGCGTTAGCTCTTAATATTTGTTTCTTTTTTTTCGCTCTTGGTCATCCTTATATGACATACGTAAAGCATTATCTCATGGTTGTGATTCCTTGGGCCCTACTCCTACTCTCACACCACTCTCCTAATTTTTATCCTCGCTGACTTTCTCGAGTATGCTGTATTTCAATTTCCAACTAGTTTTACATTTAATCTTCATCCACTATTCTATCCCCAAGTTCTACCAAAAGAAATACCTTTCCTCACTTACCATGTCCTCCTCCTCCTCCTCCAACAACAGACCTACATGGTTCCAAATCTCCCCGATAAATAATTGTCTCTCTATCATACATCATAGCTATTGTCTCTTCTGCAACAAGGTGCCATGTACATTGGATCCACGTATCATTTGGATCATTTTTTTTATTTATTTGCAACAATGACATTGTGAACCCATCACCATTGCCTTTGGACATTCAATTCATCTCTTAAATTTTACAGTCACACAATTGGGGTCATTGTGCAATGAAACCCATAATTCATCCACCAAACACTCAGCTGGCCACATTAATGTTACTTCCTGTTGAGGAAGAAGCTCTTGAATTCACTTTAAAAATACAAAATCGAGCTCTTGAATTTACTCAAAATTCAAAATTGAGCACAAAAAACACTGAAACAATAAGAAATTGCCTAACACAGAAACCCTAGAGATGACAAAGACTAAAGGAAACAACCAAAATTTCCGAGTAGAGAGAGAGAAAGAGAGTGGAGGAGATGAAAGGCTGACCTTCCATTGCGGTTAGGGCTAACAGTCCAATCCAACTCAATCCAGTCCAACGCAGCAGCTCATTGACCGACCATGTCTGCGCCTCCTCCTCCTGCGCCGATCAAACGCTCGCTGCTGGTAATTTTCTCTTTTTCTTTTCTTTATTTTTTGGTTTTGTTTTTTTGTTTAATCGGGTATCCGAATATCAAGGCATTTTATTTTTGGGATCGTTTTTTTTTTTTTTTTTTTGGGAAGTGTGTCTTCTTTTGCCGGCCGACCCTCGGATTATTCGACCGCCCCCGCCCGCACCATGTACACGTATTTTTATTTTATCTTTTGTTTTTACTGCCAATTTTTTCACATTTGCTTTTTATTGGGTTGGAGATTTTTTTATTTTTTTTTATTTTATATTTGTCAATCTTTTTTCTTCAACTAAAACTAAAATAATAAGTACGAACACAGCTGGCTAGGGCCTAGAGTTTAAAAGTATAAGTGGCGGTGAAGAAATATCTCGCACGAAAAGTACGTGTTTATAAGTATTTGAACTATAATATTTATTGTAAATGATATTATAATAAAATCTTAACTCTTTCAACGACCACACATATTTCACGTCATATAGTTTGTGAGAGGTGTTCTAAAATATAAAGTTTACTAAATTTTTCATATGCTCATAAGAAGTTATAATAAAATATTAACCATCTTCGCCATAAAATGACCTACTTTTGAAATTCTAGAATTGACTCGGCTCGCCCAATTGCCTACGCTAGCGGGGATGAAAAAGCACTCCCACAACTACTAAAAAGATTTTTCTTGCCAGTTCTTCAATATATTCTTTCGACACATCTATAGAGAATCTAACTTCGTAACTGATGCGTCTTTTCCATTCATAAACCTAGAACCTAGGTCCATCATCTGCTTGTGCCACGCCCATTCTGCTTGGCAGTGGGCTACATTCTTCTCTTCAGGTTGCCTTCCGTTGTAATTTCTCAATTTATTTCTTCTGAAATTTAGAAGAGGTACATCCCTTCGTATCGTAGTTAAAATAAATTGGCGATTTTGTACGACATACATTGATGAATTAAAAATAACTTGAACAAAATTATCGAAGAAGGATTCCGTCACGATCCAACAGAATGTATTGCAACAAGAGTAACAGCTAGACAAACACACAGAAAGAAGCAGAAGACAACATGTTCAGTTCAGGTGCTGCAAACAAAAAGCATATGTTGAAATTTAAAGTTGATAACAGTTCATGTTAAAACATGAAAGCCGAGTCTCTCAACGCTTGTACCGCTTTCCGAGTCTACGAAGAACATTCGAGTAGAATTTCCAATCCGGATGAGTAGGTGAAATTGCAGGCATTCCAAAGGGGTTTCCCTTCACATAAATTTGCACGTCTTTTGCATCTGCAAGGCCATCCAAATACTTCCCAAGTTCTCCCTTTGGATCTATTTCCAACAGTTCAAGAAAAAAGAAAAATCGGCTTTTGGGTTAGGCAAGTGGTAGAATTTCAAATGTTAATTCTCAAGGGAGACGATATCCGAACATGCAAGTTCATTGTGTGCTAAAAATATACAGTGTAGGAGGTGAAAATGAGCATGCGGTAATCACTTCCAAAATAATAAATGTATCAAATTCTCGCCATACCTAATTCTTTGTCGTTGTCATTCTCAGCATCATATGACTCCAAGAAGATACCTGTGTTAGGCTGTGATATGAAATAAAGAAAGCAACTTTAGAATGATCAAGGACAGCCATTGTCGCACTCTCGTTTTCCCCTTCTGCACTCCTTCCATTTCAGTCTTATTCTCCTTCAAAATTCAATCCGAACCCTTGGAAAAAATGGAGTGCCAAGGGAGAAAACGGGAATCTGAAAAAAAAAGGAGGAAGGCAGAGTTGTGATGACCATACAGGATTCAATAGAGCCTTGTAAGGTTTGTCATCAATGGAAAGAGTATCAGATTCTGAATATTTCCCACTAAAATAGCTCCACACTTTGTCCAGTTCTTTGAAAAATAGAGGCTTGTTTTTATTCTCCAGCGACTTCAACCCAGAGTCGGTACATTCATGTTGATCCTATTGAAGAAATACATATCAGTAAATCTTGTCCCCAAACATTTACCAAATACATATATATACATACATATATATATATCTTAATAATATACGTATATGAATGTATAGCTTTATGTATCTTACAGTTCTTACCCAAACAAATGCCAGTCGTCTTCTCAGCTTTCCCATTATACAATCCAACACACCATCCACATTTTTTCTGTTAATCAGTCATTCATAGCACAATAATCAGAGTGACTAGCAAGTATATAACAAATGAAAATCATGAAGAAACAGAAGTATAACTCAACATGATAATCGGTAGACAAGAGCATTAATAGCATGTTTACTTACCAAAAACGAGAACAAGACTAAATGATATCGTTCTAATTCCTAACTTCTTCACGTTTACAGTCAAAAATGAAAAAGGAAAAAAAAAAAATGTGGTTTTCATCTTAAAATCAGGAATTAGATACTCTCGGAACCAAAAATTGGATCAACTAGACGAAAGTTGATTCAATTCGTCAGTTTGAGTAACCATGCTATAAGTTCCCAAATTCATAATTGACAGTAAACATGCCATAAAAGTTAATTAGAAAATAAAAAACATTGTGTGTGCTCTTACTCTTGGGCAGAACTCCATATTCCAACTTCAAATCTTTCAAAACAAAATTGCATGAATTCCTCACAAAATGGTCTCCTAAAAACTGCAACGTCAAAGAAGAGGGTGGTCAAACCTAAAGCGAATGTAACATGTAGTATTAATTCTAAGTATTTTTTTTATTTATTGTTTTTTAATACAAGCCATATTACTATTATAATTCACACTAGGTAGACATCATGCTACAAGCTCTAGTAGAAATGAGAAACTAATCGTTATCCATGAGTCGTTGGTAAACTTTTTTGAAAATGTAATACTACGTAGACAAACTTTTAAATTATATTTGCAAATCATGTGACTTGTCAGCCATAAACAATATGCATGTTAGTAGATCTTCAGGTTTCCCTACACGAAGTTCCACACTCCTCTGTCTTACAACACTTAAGTAATAATCCTAATAATCCGACCGCCATCAACCACTTTAGGTTTACAAAATATAATTTAAATCACCTTTAAATGCTATGAACAACTCTCTAATTCAAAGATTGGTGTACGTACCTAGATAGCTTCCATATGTGCCATCGGGAATACGATTGCTTGGAATTTTTGTCCCGTAGTGGAGGGAAACTCTGTGGACTATCAAGCCATTGAGGCTAAAGATTACAAGCTTCTTCCTTGATCCTAGGTTTAGCTTCTCCAGAGAAAGGCCGCAATCGCTTCCGGTGTCTTTGTTGACATCATCGTCGCCGTCTTCGCTGTCATATTGTTGCTTGTTTTTACAGATCTTTTCATCAGCCATTGTTCAAAGCAATGATGTAACAAGTAGCAATTTTGCCGATTAACATATGGTGTCGTCGGTTTATAGAGGAAGAAGAGACTGCTGGCTTTTCATCTTCTGTATACGTTTATCGAACAAATGGTGGCAAAAACCAAAGAGTAAAGTGAAAAATGGTCTTGCAAATGGCTTTGGATACCCTAGTCGAGGAAAAAGACGAGAATGACTTGAAAAATGCCACTCATTTTTTGGGACGTGGCATTTTAGACTAAAAAGTTAATAAGTGATTACTTTTCATCTTCTACTCGTTTAGGATTCGTTTGGATATGCTTTTAAAATGGTTAAAAGTATTTTTAGAGAAAGTGTTTTTTGGTTCAGAAGCACTTAAAAGTGCTTTATGTAAAAAGCATCCGTTATGTGCTTATTCCAGGAAACACTTTAAATGTTTTTATAGTATTTACTTGCATTTTTACTAAGAATTGATTCTAAAAATATTTTTACTAAAAAAACATTCTGTCATTTTAAAAGCACATCCTAAAAAGCACAACAACTTCAATACCTAAATGTAGTGACTGATTTTCAGATTTCCCTGATCATGTCAGTCCAACATTCAACAGTCTGGACCAGTTGTCCCTGCGTCACCACTCACACAATCGTCATATGCAGTCGTATGTTTTTTTTTTCTTCTCAGCATATGGCACGTATTGAAACAATGTCAACCAACAACTACACTAGGATATTCACTTCTTTTAACCGACTCAAGATTAATGAGGCCCAAATTGTAGTTTTCTTTCTAGCCCATTATAACAACAAACAATTCTGCCAATTGGGCTTGTAAAGACAGAATTCCTGCACCATGGTCCAAAATTCTTCTTCAAATTTTGTGCAGAAACTTCGCAAAGTTACCACAAAAAGGATAATAATTCCTACAACAAAACGTAGGAGTCTCCCATACCTCCACAGGGCAGAAGTTTGTGGTAACACCCAACCTTTCCAGCACCTTCTAGTGAAGACAGAGACCTGGGTTTTTGTTCACTTAACATCAAAACTTGGAGTGCATAACAAAATGAAGTCGACGACAAGAAATACAAGTTGACGATCAGGATGGTGACCCACGACGAGGAGGGCCGTAAGAGGGTGGAGAAGATGGAGCTCCCCACCCACAACATCGACAGCATCAAGTACGTCGAGAAGAAGCTCATAGACAAAGGCGTGCAGCGACTCGAACGCCACCCGAGAGACGGGACCGGGATCAGGAGGCCGCCACCTGAGTCGGGCCACGGCGGCAAGCAATGAGTCAATATTATATTATATATTTCATCTTATTCTTAGTATAATTTGATAATTATTATAGTAGAATTTTGATATTTTACTTTGAGGTATTCATCAATTTCCCTCCTGAACTTGTGACCATTAGCCAATTTCCCCCTCAACTTTAATTTTGGCCAATTTCCCCTCTCAACTCTCATACTTAGTCAATTTCCCCCCTCAACTTTAATTTAGCCAATTCCCCCCCCTCAACTCTTATAATTAGTCAATTTACACCATACTGTTAATTTTTAATTTGATCATAATTAAACAAGTGTGTGTAAGAAACTAAATAAGATGTATGTTAATCATGTTCCTATATCTTTATCCTATTACAAATAGATTAAAATTTAGAATTTTACAATTTATCATAGATAGTATTATTAGTCATGATAAATCAGTATGAAGTAATTTTATTTGATTTTTTACTATACAAAATTGATAACGAAAATGATTGATGTGTAAATTTTTGTATGTGAATACAATTTTCTTTATAAAAGTGATAGCTAAGTTCAAGTAAATTGCAGAGAATCGAGCTTTAGTGAAAAAATGGCTAGTCTATTCATAATTTTTGACTCCTTATTAAGAATAACCCATTTTATTGAAATAGGTATGATCCATGAGTTTAGGATTGTTATTTCTTTTTGTTATTATTTCTTCTTCTACATGCTTTAAACCCGATTCATAACTTTTTCTTATAATCAACCCATATCACATACTAATTGTATTATGTTTTTGTACATTTTACCCTATATTATGCATGTGAGTTTATGTTAATTTTAGTACTTTGGTGGAAGTTATTAGAAAGATTGAAAATTAAGAAAAGAATAGATGGAAAATTAAAAACAAAAAAAATTAACAGTATGGTGCAAATTGACTAATTTTGAGAGTTGAGGAGGGAAATTGGCCAAATTAAAGTTGAAGGGGGAAATTGACTAATTATGAGAGTTGAGGGGGGAAATTGGCCAAAATTAAAGTTGAGGGGGAAAATTGGCCAATGGTCATAAGTTCAGGGGGGAAATTGATGAATACCTCTTTTACTTTATATTTTCAACATAGGACCTTAGACTTCATTTGGAGCAAAACGTGACCAAACGAATAAATTTTGGAGTGATTCAAATTGGAGGACGTTGATGTGTTCCTTAGCTTGTTCGTGTCAAAATCTCAGCAATTTCTACCAAGCGGTTATTTTTCAGAGATTAAATGAATGAGCAATATGCGTTGCTGAAAAGTGACGTTTCTGGGTTTAAACTGCATTTTTTGAGCCCAAGATGACCTCAGATGAGTTTGTGACTTTCTAGATAAGTGTTCAGATTAGTCAAAGCTTTAAATCCAGCTATTTTGAGCCAGTTTTGAAGCTGATATGGATCCAAAATGTGATTGTGCAGATTTCTGAATGAATTTACCAAGTCAATTTAGAATTATATTTCCTATTTTATTTTAATTTATTTAGTTCTCTAGTATTATTCTAAGACCATTTTATTAGGAGGGTTTTAATGAGGGTAGGATACATAAGCCTTTTGGCAAACCTAGGGTTTCTAGAGAGGAGAGAACGCATCCAATTTTTAGAGAGAACATTTGGGGCAAAGACTATGATTTTTATTTTATTTTTCTATTTCAATAAAGACTATGATTTTTAGTATGAATATGCGTAATTAATTTTCTTTTGTTAGGGTGAGGTCATGATCCTGAGCAAAAATATGTAGTTTCTTTTTAATTTGCTTATGAATTTATGCATGCAAGTTTTGGATTGTTAATCACTATGCTTTAAACTATCTATTTGTCTTAGTGATTTGCGACCATTAAAATATTTAGAAAAGTAATTTGATGCAATTTTGGCGGAGGGTTGTTCCTAAAATCGACTAACATTTTTTGTGGTTAATATGTGTAACCTCTTAGGATGGACGACACATTTTAAGGGTTATATGGTTTTCAAAGGGTTTTCAAAAAACTTAATGAGTCTTGCATGTCCACATTCGATCTAAACACCATGGACGGGTTGCATGTTATATATACATTCTATGTTGGAGGTTCCAAGTAGGATATACTCTAGGAAAACCTAACCTTCAAAATATGCATGTATGGTTCGTAAGTAATTTAGAAGAGCTACATAGGATTGTTATCCCAGTGGGTCACCCATCATGGGATTGCTCTAGCCCTCTTCTCGCTTAACTTCGGAGTTCCTACGGAACCCGAAGCCAGTGAGCTCCCAAAAGGCCTCGTGTTAAGTAGGGATGGGAATATTCATTTAAGGATCACTCCCCTGGGCGATGTGGGATGTCACAATCCACCCCCCTTAGGGGCCCGACGTCCTCGTCGGCACACCACGACCAGGGTTAGGCTCTGATACCAAATTGTCACATCCCAACCTGGGGCGGACCACTTCCCGGGCCCGCTCCACCACCGTAGCACGATATTGTCCGCTTTGGGCTTACCATTCCCTCACGGTTTTGTTTTTTGGGAACTCACGAGCAACTTCCCAGTGGGTCACCCATCATGGGATTGCTCTAGCCCTCTTCTCGCTTAACTTCGGAGTTCCTACGGAACCCGAAGCCAGTGAGCTCCCAAAAGGCCTCGTGTTAAGTAGGGATGGGAATATTCATTTAAGGATCACTCCCCTGGTACGGAACGCTAGTACTTTCTCATTTTGAATTCTAAAAATTGTTTCCTTTATCTTCTTTAAAGTTGTCGTTTTTAAGTAATATTTTTAATTAAATTCGTTTTTCTTAATTTAGGTCATTAAATCACCTCTTCCAAAAACTTTGTTTTAATTAATTACTTGAGAATTGATTTCACTTTGATCTCTTGAAATTAATCCTTGTGAAAAACGACCTTACTTGAGCCAATTATACTACAATAACCTTGTTTTTCTTGCAAGTATTTTAGGTGTTTTTAACCCTTTTGTGGAGGTGGTAAAAATCATATCAGCAAGTACATGTATTTTTATTTTATCTTTTGTTTTTACTGCCAATTTTTTCACATTTACTTTTTATTGGGTTGGAGATTTTTTATTTTTATTTTTTAATATTGATCAATTTTTTTCTTCAAATAAAAATAAAATAATAGTTTCCAAAAAAAAAAAAACTAAAATAATAAGCACGAAAGCTAGGGCCTAGAATTTAAAAATCTAAGTGGTGGTGAAGAAATATCTCATAAAGTACGTGTTTGTATAAAGATTTAAATTATTTTATTTATTGCGGATGATATAATTATAGAATCTCAACTCTTTCAATAGCCACACATATTTCGTGTTATAATAAAATCTCAACTATCTTTGTCATAAAATAACCTAATTTTGAAATTCTAGACTCGGCTCAGCCAATTCCCTACTCTAGGAGGGATAGAAAAGCACTCCCACAACTACAAAAAATGTCTTTCTTGCCAATTCTTTAATATACTCTTTCGACACATCTTTAGAGAAGCTAACATTGTAACTAGTGCGTCGTTTCCATTCAAAAACCCAGAAACTAGGTCCGTCATCTGCTTGTGCCACGCCCATACTGCTTGGCAATGGCTACATTTTCTCTACAAGTCGCCATTCGTTGTAATTTCTTAATTTATTTATTCTGAAATTTAAAAAGAGATATATCCCTTCGATCGGAGTTGTTAATATAAATTGGCGATTTTGTACGAAATACATTTATGACTTAGAAACAACTTGAACAAAATTATCAAAGAAAGATTCCGTCACGATCCAACAGAAAGTATTGCAACAAGAGTAACAGCTAGACAAACACAGAAAGAACCGGAAGACAACATGTTCAGTTCAGGTGCTGCAAACAAAAAGCATATGTTGAAATTTAAAGTTGATAACAGTTCATGTTAAAGCATGAAAGCCGAGTCTCTCAACGCTTGTACATCTTTCCGAGTCTACGAAGAACATTCGAGTA